AAGTTTATGTGTTTCTTGGGATATAAGCATCCTACCTTTAATATGATTTACATTTCCCTTTTAGACTCGTGCAAGGCCTACAGGCAAATTGTTTTGAGCCTTCTATGAAGGAGAGGCTATATATTTGCAAGGCAGTCTGCGAAGTCGTATGAAGACCTGGAAAATAAACACAAAAAGGAAAGGTTCTTAGGAAATTGAAGTCGAACGGCATTTCTTAAAACATGTTTGTGTCACCCAAACGGAGGCAGCAGCACACCCTCCAGTGTGGCTTACTTTTCTCAGCTTACTCCAGGGCATTTCACTAGATTTGGTGTATGAATGCTCAGTCAAAACCTCTAGCATCAAACTCCTTAAGGGCAGTTCTTCTAGTCTTATTCCACGTTAAGGAATGAAGAAATGGCGAGGAATGGATTAGAAGAATAGACATCGAACAATGTATTTTCCATTCCTCACGAACGTCGAACACGGCCAACAAGACCGCTCGCATTTGCAGATGCACTGACCAACTTACATCATCAAGCTCCCTTCTTCCGCTGACCGAGATCGTCCCAGTGTCTCGTTACAACGAAGCATGTGTATCACACTGGTATGTGTGTGACGTGTGTGTGGAAGTAAAGGGGGCATGCGCGTCTAAGATCTCTTACCCTTTGATCATAGTTACCTGCGCCGACGTGAAGTGCTCCGCCGGCGAGCTCTGCAATGATCTTCCCGATGGCCCAGACTGCGCGCCAGGTGAGAGATCCCAGCCTGCCGTCAGGCCACCTCTGGTGGGTCGGTGACCTCGGCCACCCCGGGCAGTGACCTCGGCCACTCCGGGCAGTGACCTCTCATCATCGCAGGCGTCTGCCAATCGGCGAGGGTTTCCAATGCTCCGCGAAGTGGAGCTGCAGTGCACTCGCCGTCGGTGCTTGATGGCTCGGCACGGGCCTGCCTCGGCAGGGTACATTCCAAATGAAGAACGGCAACCGTCTGGGACTTTTATCTGTCTTCACTTTACAGCAGCGGCTTGGTGAAGCGGCCAGCCGTGGTAACTCGCCTCTGTCGCCCGTCTCGCCATTGCCCAGGCGTTTGGTGCGGACCACGCTCCAAAGACGCTGTACATTTATTTATTGTGCTTTGTATGGTAGATTTGTTGTGCTAACGCAGCTTGTTTCGATTAGACATGGGACCAAGTAAGAACAGGTCACCCAAATTTGGTGTGAAAAATGGCCACTCAGGACAAACGACCTCTGTAACGCTGTCACCGGTGCTTCCTAGACAGCCCGCAGCCCAACACGTGCGAGGTGCGCGTGTGCGCGCGGAACCTGAGCTGCATCGACACACCGAGCGGCGCCCTTTGCCGCAAGGGCTAGTGTAAGTTCAGAGCGGTGGCGCCGCTGCCAGGCACCAGACCAGTTTGGCGGCAGGGGTGGTGTTTCACACTTCAGTGGTTCAGGCCCAGTGAGTGCGGACATGAGACTTCTTTCCCCGTCCTTCACGGACACAGACAGTTTAGGAGCGGTTCATGTGATGTAGATGGCGTTACCAGGCTTGTGGGGCTGCTTTGCATCAAGATGACGATGCTGACCACAGATGGCGCTGCCAGCCACAAAGGACGTCGACCCGTGCTAGACCGTTTTTTGTCCCACCGGCTTGTCTGGTTTATCATGTGGAGCAGGATCTGAGGGCCCCTTAACCCAACCAATTCGGGACAGCGGATGTGGAACTATTGAACTGTCAGATGTATTACTAGTTACGTCTTATCGAGTCGGATGTCTTACGAGTCGGATAGTTGAGAACAAAGCGCGAGCGATGCATTAACGTACCGGAACCAGACAGCGCCTCTCGTTCAGTCATCATGGCCTCTCATAGTGAGTGCATTGCCACCATGGAATGGAAGCATCGACTCAAACTGCAGCGCTGACATGCCCACACCTGCCCACAGCAAAACATGACTGCGACCGCAAATACTGTCCGGCCAATACGAAGTGTATCGACACGGAGCTTATGGGCTCCCACTGCGCCAAGATCTAAGTCGCCACCGCAACTGCCATCCGCCGTGGGCCGCGCTCGCCGCTGCGCCATTTTGGCCGCGTGTTTGGGTGGCCGTCACGCCTGCCACCCGTAAACGCCGAGAAATACAGATCATGCCACTTCCGTCTTCGTTTTTGAGCGGGTGTTGATCATGTCCAGTTACATTGATGTGATACTTGGTGCTTATGGGGTCGCGCCACGAGCCTTTGTACCGTTTTATCTGCCACCATCGGTGTTTTCCGTCTAGTTGAAAGATTGGAAACTTTTCGAATTTCCCGTGAAACCCATCAAAAAGCCAAAGACGCTGATGGAAACAAAAGTTGATGGAGGAATCTCTTTCCGAGCTTACCTAAGTTGCTCAGTGCATTCGCGAGGAACATTATTGACATAGATAAGGTAGTAGTAACTGCCGCATTCCTCGAAGAAAAACCAAGAGAATGGAAATATATAGGGCTGATATTTCAGCAACACACTTTTATCGAAACAATAGCAGCAGCGAATTCAATGTTACCTGCCGATGATTCTACTCGATTTTTCTGTTTTTAAACAGCAAGCCACAGTTTTTATAGGGGACCATCATTCAGGAGATTAAAGAAGAGAAAAACCAAACACGCCAACACGCGTGTTTGCATACACACGTATGTTCGCATAATGCTATACTTAAATAGGCACTATCGTGGTAATGGCTAGCAATCGTTCACCGTTTAATCCTCTGAAAGTTGGTGCTCTGTAAAAACCGTGGCTTACTGTTTTAAACAAAAACAAAAAAACTAAACAATCGAGTGGGATCATCGGCAGGCAATTTTGAATTCACTTCTGCTATTGCTTCGAAAAAGGTGTGCTGCCGAAGTATCAACTCATCTATATCTCTATTCTCCTGGTTTTTCTACGAGGAATAAGGCTTTTACTGCTGTCTTATCTTTCCAAACTAAGTAAATGAACGAAGGGCCTCTTTTGGTTGAAAATGCAGGGACGGTGGCCTTCATTTGGGGTCCCATTCCGGAATTTCGTTGCATACCAGAGGCTTGAAACATTTTCAAGATGCACCGGATGAACAAACTGAGTTGGCCTACTACTTTTGCCAGCAAAACGGGATCCAATAACTGATCAGCGCTCCCACAACTGGCGGGATAGACCGACCGTGCACCGCAAGACCACGTGTTTGTCTCCCTCTTCAACGGTGCTCAGGGTGCCAAGCGAGTCTCCCGGGGCCGACGATGAGTTATGCCTGAGCCCCCTCCAGATCGATTATCAATGGGCACATGGGCCAGTGAGCCCCTGGCGAATGTTGGCCAGGCCAACACGGGCTCCTTGGTCGACATGGGCCCAGTGCATCTTCAGTTGACACATGCCTGGGTTGGCGCGCGTATCCCGAGAGCTGGTGCGCGGTTGAAGTACACCAACTGTCTCATGCCCTGAATCGCACGCTGAAGATCTCCAAGTCATGCATCCGTATGATCATTGAAGCCATCCATCCGGTGGTATGGCAATCCCACAAACTCAGCACAAGAGGCAAATTTCCAACTTCAAATTTTCAGCCAGCGTTCGAATTTTCGAACAAAAGTCTGATAAGGTCGGAAAGGTTTTGAAAAGTTCAGCCCCTCTCCACGTTTTAGTCCCCTAGTGGTATTATGGACGCAAACATCCATGGGAAAAAGTCGTATGCTGTGTTTGTACGCTAATACTCTTCAGCGGTAAGATTCTTTTAAGAACCCACATATTCTCATGCAGATTTGTAACGTGAGTCAAGTGTTTGCTATGTGTTTATACGCAAATATTCATACACAAATGTTGCTCAAAGATAGTGTTCGTTTCATTAGAGTATGCACAGAACAGGTCGCATGCGCGAATAAAGACCCTCAACTTTGGTGGCCAGCCTGGAATAAATTGCCAGTTCACAGTTCAAGGGAATAATGCGCATTGAAGGACCCCGCGGCCCAACGAGGACCTAGTCCGCGTAGTCTTTGAATGGCTGCGACCCTGAAGTGCATGGTCCAATACACCGTTGATGAGCGCCGACTGCCTTTGAAGGCATAGGATGCTATAGCGAAAGCAGAAGGGTGAAAATGTATGACTTTGGGAGTGAAATGCCCAACTCAAGTCATGGGATTGCGCCTAATCGTTTTAGAACTGGATTTTACAATAAATCACTGAACCAGGACTAAAAAAAAAAACTTTGAAAAAGCGTACCCCAACTCACGATGCATTGTGCATTGCTATCGATATCGATGGAAGCGTCGCACAATGCAGCCGGACACACCGAGCAGTTCACGGGGATATAAGCCAAAAGCCGCAAATGGCCCAACAAATGCTTAGCGGAAAGGTGGGGTATTTCCGGTCGGCCCCGCCTCAGACTCAGTTTACTCTGTGGTCTCTGAGAAACTACATGCTCGGATATCTTCTGGAATAGGTCAACATGTTTACGCAGGCGGCTAGCTGATTGTCCATAGCGAGGCGAAACATGGCTGCGGCTGTGAAAACCACGGGCTGATGTCATGGCACTGTTTTGAGACAAATGCGCACAGCAATCACAATAATGGCATAGGTGAGAGGGCGCGAGAATAACCGCGACATCCCCCACAAAGCGACACGTAAGTTGTGACACGCCAAGATCAGCACCAGCCCCCGCTGACACCCCGTGAGTTCCATTTCGTTCACACGCCATCAGTCGACTGTTTTATCGCTGAGTCACACACAACTCCGCATTATGGTTCGTTTATTCGAAAAGCAAAATGTCCTGTCAAAATACGACACTCATTCATTCGAATAACGTCAGCAGAGCACAAACCCCACGAGGTTTTCCAATGACCGTGATGAACGTGGTCGCAGCTGGAAACAAGTCAATAAACGTAATTGGCAAGAACGAACTGCAGCTGAAAAGCCATTTTGTCTAAAGTACGAATATCACGTATTCCTCCTTTCAGATTGCTTACATAATCAACACAGGATTCATGAGAACTGGTGCGCTCAGAACTGCCCAAACTGGCTGACCACCGACGAAAACATCCTGCCTAAATAAACAAAATAGCTACAAACCGAGGGCGGACGCGCCGCTCCGTAAAAAAGCGGCCGCGCCCCCGCTGCACGACGCAAGTCTGGTTTCGATGTAGCAGCTCCCGCCCCAGTCGGCTCCGGCGGGCGGGCGGACGCCGCACCGGGCGATGCAGACACGTGATCGATGAGACGCGGCAGAGTCCGGCCGGCGGCTGCGCATCCGCCAGATACTGGAGATGGCGCGCCAGTCGGCCGCGAGATTCAGGGGACGCGACGAAGACGGCCGACGGTCGCCGCGACTCCTGCCGGCGCCAGAGGGGCGCGGGGGAGGGGGGCTCGCGGGTGGCCGGCCGGGCAGATGCGTGTGAGGGGATCGGGGAGGGGGCGCTAGTGACCCCGGATGGCCTCACGGGCGGCCAGGATCAGCGGGTGCAGGCTGGCGAGCGGCCGGCACGTCTTCATGAATGGGTGCTTCAGCAGCTCGGCCGCCTGCGGCCGCCGCTCCACGTCCACCTCCAGGCAGAGGTCGAGGAAGTCCTGGAACGGCCCCGACAGCTTCTCGCGCTCCTTTACCTCTGGCCGGCCGTTGGTGGCGATCAGGTAGAGCGCGCGCAGCGGGTTTTCGTTCAGGTAGGGCGGCTCACCCTCGATCATCTCAATGGCCATGATGCCCAGCGACCAGACGTCCACCTTGGGGCCGTACTGCTTGCGCGTCACCACCTCGGGCGCCATCCAGTACGGCGTGCCCACCATCGTGGTGCGCTTGGTCTGCTCGGGCGAGATCTGCGCGCAGAAGCCGAAGTCGGTCAGCTTGACGGAGCCGTCCATGCCGAGCAGGATGTTGTCCGACTTGATGTCGCGGTGGATGACGTGGTTGACGTGCAGGAACTGCAGCGCCTGCAGCACCTCGCGGCACACAGCCGCGATCTGGCCCTCGTCCATGCACGTTTCGGTCACAACGTCCGTCAGCGAGCCGCCCGGCAGGTACTCCATCACCACCCACAGCTCCTCACCCACCAGGAAGCTGTCCAGGTAGTTGACCACGTTCGGGTGCTTGTTCTCGCGCATTACCACGATCTCGTTGATGATCAGCTCTTTCTTGGGCTGCTGGGACAAGTTCATCTGCTTGATGGCCACCTCGACGCCGGTGGCCGTCTCAATGGCCGTGTAGACGGTGCCGGACGCGCCCTGGCCGATCTTCTCCATCTTCGTGTACTTGCGGTGCGGATCGCCGACCGTCACGATGCAGCGCAGCCGCTCTAGGATCTCCTCGTCGGTCATCTTGCTGCGCGCGCGGCCGCCCTCACGCCGCGCCGGCGTCGGTGGCGCCGCCGTCGGGTTCTTGTTGGTGTCCAGCGCGCCGTTCGTGGGCAGCGCCGCCTCCTCCTCCTCGATCGGCTTGGTGTAGATGGACTTGGTGCGCTCAGGCCGCGCGGCCACCGGCGGCGGTGGCGGCGACGCGTCCTCCTCCTCCTCGTCCTCGTCCTCTGCCACCTCGGCCGACGCCGTATCGGGTGTGCTGGCCGTGGTCGCCGACGTCGACGACGTGTGTCGCGAGCCCGGCAGCGCGGCGCCGGCCGTGCTCGACGGCTGCGAGGCCAGGCTGGGCCGCGGCGAGCGGCTCGACGACGACCACGAGCCGCCGTGCTCGGCCGCCTTCGGCACCATGTACTTGTGCTGCTCCTTGTCCTTGGTGGACGCGTCGTAGTAGTTGAGCACGTCGATGACAGCCTGTGGGTTCTGCTGCCGCTCCTGCACGCTGATGTTCGAGCTGGAGAGCAGCGATACCCACGAGTCGGGCATACCGCTGAACTCGCCCGTCACCGGGTCGAAGCCGACGTGCACCGTGTGCTCGAAGTTGGTCGGGTACGAGATGGCCGGCTTCTCGGCGTGCTTCTTAGTCTGCTTGGCCTTCAGCCGGCGCTTGCGCTCGTCGTCCGGCTCTCGCGGCAGCGGCCGCGACAGCTGGCCGGCTAGCAGGTCGGCCGGCGCCCGCTCGCCACCAGCGCGCACGCTCGCCATGCGCACGGGCGGCGCCGGCGGCTTGTCCTCCATCATGACCGGCGGACCGCTGCAACATAGCGACAGGTCACGCACAAGCAGGTCCAGCGGGCCTGCGCGGTGGTGGCCGGCGCGGCCGCAGCGTGAGGCACGTCGCAGGCGCAACAGCCAACGGCACAACCCGCCAGCGCCCGGTCAGGGAGGGAAGGACGCAGCCAGGTAGACGGCAACGCCGGGCAGCGGGTCGGCCGTCACCCAGAACACGGCCGAGCGAACCGTGTTCAGGACACTACAGAGTGAGCCGCTGAGACTGACGAACGAGCTGTGACATGAGCCAGGGGAGAGCACGACTGAATCACAGACGGCCGGACCACTGAAGCGGCAGCGGCAGGGCGATCCACGGCGTAACTGGGTTGCGTGATGTATTCGGTTTGTGTGCGGTGTCAACAGCCGCGTTTGCGATAATGTGAGATAGATGGCCGCACAAACCTTCCCGGTGACGTCACACATCAGTGACGTACAAACAGCTGCAAAACGTGTCAATGGTTCGTTCAGAAGTTTAAATTTGAAGGGCCTGTTTAGCACGGTTCGGACGTTATTACCGACACTCGGGGTGGGGGGGGGGGGGGGGTGGAGGGGTTACTCCCCCCCTTTCTCTCCAAGGCTGTCTCGGATTAGGGCTATATACACAGCAACCGCATCTAACCATGTTTTGACGGCCAATGGCAGTCCCAGTTTCGTTGACCAGCCCAGTACCCTTCACAAACTCAGGATCCATGACCATCTCTGGACTCCAGACCATTTCTGTGGTCATTTGGTATATCGGAATGACATAATACCAATATCAATGCTCAGAACCTCTCAGTTTTTTCTTAGCTCTCTATGGACCATCATATGTCCTAGGCCCCACACACTCGAAGGCTCTATTACCAAATGGCATTTCAGCGTCTTCAGTGCCAATTGATCATTTAAGCACTTTGGGCCCAATTACCTCTTGAGGCATATGACTGCACTGGGTCTATCAGCATAGTGAGCTGCCCTCACTTCTGGATGTGTTCTGGACACAAAAGGGCACTGCTACATTTGTGGAGGCATGAGCATGACTGTGGTGCTGGTCAAACCTTCAATGGGGTGTGCTGTTCTGCTGTGGCCTGTACCACATAGCTATGCATCATCACGAAAATACTGCACACTACCTGATCTATTTTGTCATCCTATCGCAATTTATTCCACATTTTTGATCTGATGCTTTACTAAACCTGAGCCTTGGTGCCTCATGCATCATTGCCAACATTACCTTCTTGCATTTGTGAGAATTCACATGCCAGACATAAATTACAACACATTTAGGCCGGATGGAAAATGCAAAAGACTATGCACCAATAATCTGATCAATCTGGCATGCTGAAAATGTAAAATCATTAATGACCTATTCAATAAGACCACCAAGCATGCACATGCATCCATTCTCTACACTGTGTTGCTCAAGTCCACAAGATATATCAGGGCATAATTTTTGTGAATGTTAATGACCAATATTCCACAAGCATCATGAGCATCTTAGTTTTTAGAAATCAGTCAATGCATTTTATTAGTTCAACACAAGTGACCACATAAACACCCCAGGCAATGTACCAATGCCTCACAACAAGTGGGTAGCATATTGTTCCAGGATACCAGGGACGTCGGCGCACATCACTCACAAAGAGCACTCCCCCAGAATAAAAAGGAGAAAAGCCATGTATGTAATCAGGTACTTGCCTTGTGTGTTGTTCAAATGGGGGTATAAGCACAAATGACAGAACATCAATGCAGTCTCAGCAGTGGTGCTGCCAGCAGATCAGGAAATTTCATTATGTGACCCATGGAAGTGCATTATTATGCCTGAAGTTGATGAAAGCTGAACATTAATATCTAACCTTCAAAAATATGGTCACACAAATATCAAAATGGACTGCCTCATCTAAGGAAAATATATATCACATAATTGTCAGAAATTCAATCCAGCACTTCAATACAGAACAATTGAACTTGCAGCAAGTGTTGAGCTGTTTATTCAGCAAAACTAGCAATCAGGGTTGTAGCTCCCCATTCAGTAAGGGGGCTTACAGTGCTCCCTGGATGAGATGAAAGTGGGTCAAGTGGGGAGAGAAGCATCTTTTTGATGTATTTTGTGGCCAGCTTTAGTCATGTTTTTCTGTTCATACCTAATTTATTTTGAAAGCAACAGCCCTGCAAGCAGCCATAGCATGTGTCTTTGGTGATGGCAGGTTAGGTGTCTAATCCATCCATATTGTTACTCCTGATGAACATGAAGGCATTCCTGTTCATCTAAAAAAGCCTTTATGCTCGGCCTTGGAGATGAATTGGTAGTGGGTATCAGTAGTGTCACAGGGGGTAGGGGTGAGTGTTAGCAAGTTATCTATAGGCAAAATGGCTGAATGTTAAATGGAATGGAATCTGTTGAACTGGAATCAGCCAAATCAAAGTCTGAGTAGCACACAATCAGCAACATATACTAAGCTGGTCAGGAAATATGGGTCAGAACTTAGCACACTTAATCTACACAAAGGTCAGACCATGGATGATGAAACCTGAAGAATTCACTTCCTCTCATCTTTGGGAAGTGTCAAAGTCAGTCTTTGCCTCTTTACCAAAAGCACTTGAGAAGAAAATCACATCATTTCCAGTTCAGAGGATCCTCTAACAGTGGGTGAGTCCAATGCAGCAGCCACTTCACAGACACAATGAGATGTCCACTTGACATCTGGCAAACATGCCAGCTATGGGAACATTTTTTAATGCATGTGTAAACAACATTATTAAAAGATATACACTGTCTAGGTGAGTATCAACTAAGTGCAGCATGAAGATCAGCACCTGATTCCTGTGCTGTGTGAAAGGGAGTCACAAATACCTACACATGTGGGATAAAGTTACACAGCAGTTAAAGTTACATAAATTTATACAACCAGCCTGCAAAAGGTGATAGTCCAATAGACAAGATGTTTGGGGCCAGTGTGATCCTGCCCCACCTGGTCTGTTCTGATCCCAACATATAATGTTTTGTGTCACACCTTTGCACCATCATCACATCATCAAAGCTTCTATATGCAAAAAAAAAACACTGAGCACTTCACTATGAAAACAGCAATACTTTTGGAGCCACCACACTAAATCCTATCTGATATATGCTTATTGGCTTGTTAGCTTGTTCAACACAAGCAACAAAAGCTGGTAAGTGCAAAAAGCTTTATACTTGCAGATCCAGTGCTTGTTTTTCATTGGTGGATCTCTGGCTACAGGTAATGCATGGGCAGCTGGATACAGGATTGCACAGGATTGGTGGCAGCAGTTAGGAAAGTGATCACAGAGTTCAGGAACATCTGGTGCATTTAGCCTTTGGGCTTTCCCTTTCTTTTTATATTGCTACTCCTTTGTTTGCTATACACTGTGGTGTGTTTAGAGGTTCTAAACAATCTCTGCTCCCATTCAATGCCTCCCTAAGACACCAGGCCTATCTCCTGAAAAGTGAGCTAGGGGCATTGTTTTGCAAAACAAGCTGGAAAATGTGTGTGTGAAGGGGGAGGGTGCAAGAGGGACTATGCAGTGACAATTTTCATAACCTTCTCCTCAAATTGCCAACAAATTAAGTTTCTCTGTAGATTTGGCCCACCTCCCTCTCTCAGTTTGTCTAAGTCTAAGTTTGAGGGAGTGAGCTGAAGCCTAAGTAAGGGGGGGGGGGCTAACACCCTTCCAGCTGAATAGGAAATTACACCCTCGATGTGAGCTGCCCCAATTGAGGAATTTCTATCCAATTTGTTTTCAAATCTGCCCCAAATGAACATTCTTGCCCTGCAAGATCCTGTGAATAGCTGCTTTTTGGAAGACCAGACAGTTGGACTTAAAAATGTATTTCTCAGCTGGATGATTTAAAGATAACAATGAACTTCAAACATAAGTGGGACAATGTAAAACCCACTGCTGGACCAGCATCATTCCCATATTAACTGTGATGTAGTTCAACTTGGGGCCACCCAATTAGCTGTAGTTCATTTATTTTGAACATGTATGAATGCCTCCACATGGCAAGCATCAATTAACATGATGAAAAAATTCACTCAGCCTGAATAATAACTGACCGTGTGTGCAAGGAAGTAAGGGTCCTTCCAAACCGAAATCGGTTTGAGTGTTAGTCTTAGTGTCGGACCACAACAGCGCGAGCCTGTTTGGTGACTGAGTGTGACATATAGGCGTCTTCAAGAGAGTAGAAGATTAGTTATTAGCATGCTACAAGTCACTCCCTCACCAACCAATACTATGGCTACCCACCAGTGCCCTTAATCAGTAATTCCAATCTCTCAAAACAGAATAAGATCATGGCGTATTTCAATTGCAACGCACATTTGACGAAATAAGGAAAACAAGCTTCTAAAACACCGTTACTAAATAGTAAACATGAAATTACAAGAGAAAAAAAGCTTTTTGCAGGTAAATTTGTAGGAATTACACATTCCACAGTGCAGCACGTATATATAAATATATATATATGCATACACACACACACACACACACACACACACACACATACATATACATATATATCGTATCTCTCCTTCTCTCTCTCTCTCTCTCTCTCTCTCTCTCTCTCTCTCTCTCTCTCTCTCTCTCTCTCTCTCTCTCTCTCTCTCTCTCTCTCTCTCTCTCTCTCTCTCTCTCTCTCTCTCTCTCTCTCTCTCTCTCTCTCTCTCTCTCTCTCTCTCTCTCTCTCTCTCTCCTCTCCCTCGAATTTTAACTTCCCTATTTCATAGCCGAAATAGGAGTACGCACTGTCTCTAGGACTCCGTCTCCGAACAGGCCCTCTAACTGACATTTGAGATCATGACCCAACGAGTGGGCGTCCTCAACATTACCCAGAGCCAGCCCTTTGAGTTCTTTCCCCCTCCAATCGGGCCCTTGGTGTTTGGCCCCGAAGGGCTCGTCGGGCCTCTCTTCGGGCCCTCTCAAACACGGCTCCTGACGTCTCGGGGCCACTTGCCGACATTGGGCCACTTTTAAGGCACTGTGGGCCGTTGAAAAACGCCCTCGTTGTTTCATGGACCCCGACTAGTGGCAGAACAACAATGGCTTTCTTAAAATGATAACAGAACAGCAATGGATTTCTTCCTGCCCCCGAATATGGCAGTACCCCATTGTCCTTGCAGTATGTATATGTATGGGAACAGTACGCCATATGTATGGGAACGTTTCAAAAAGTGGGTGTGCCGAAACCTATTTGGAAGCTGTTTCTTTATACGTGTCGCTATATGATGCATATACGTATAGAGCATTCCCGGAAATTTAAGGTGTGGGTACTATGCTGCCATGGGATTCACACTTTCCTACGCCTACGGTGCTCGAAGATGGGATTCCCCCACTGCGGCTCCCGCGATCCGGTTAGAAGAAGACTTGGAGTGATCCATTGCGAAATCCATCAACTTGGATCTACCAATTAACTTGGAGGAATCCATTTTGCTGTGGCGTGATCCCATATACGTGGGGCATGATCGTCATGATCGGGCCTGGAGTGATTTCCTATCTCCTTGTAGATGCTTGTAGATGCCAGCCACAGTGCACTACTGGGTAGTAACAACCCTACATGAGCCCAAATATGTTAATTACCAATTGAGAGCTCGGGATCGCCAAGGGCGTTGCCAGGCGGAGGAGAGAGCAAGGCTTGGAGCTTGGGAGAGCTAGGAGTCAGGAGCTAGTGTGAATTATGTTGTACCCGCCGTGGCGCGGTGCTCGCGCCCAGCTCTCGGTCAGCATCGTGTTGGCGAACGGGGCCGCTGACAGGCGTTGCCGTTCGTAACGATATGGCGCGGTCCTGGCGGCACAGCTTACCAACGGTCAGCTGATTCGGAGAGTTGACGCCAGGCGGCGGTGTGTTGCTGCCGACTGGCCGGACAGGAGTCGTGGCCGGCTGCCGAGCCATGAGGAAACAGAGGATAGGTAACAAGGCCTCGTCGGTCACAAAGTCTCAAAGAGTTGGTCGGATCTCTCTTCGGGCCCCCTCAAACACGGCTCCTGGCGTCTCGGGGTCACTTGCCAGCATAGGGCCAGCCGTTAGACACGGTGGGCCCCTCACAGACGCCCTCATAGTTTCATGGACACCAACCAATACTGCGTGCCCAGCGTGGTTCGTACTTAAGAAATTAGCCTGTGGGACTCAGACCGACACAGAGCTAGCTGTTCAGTTTTGGTGAGCAGTAGCGGAATAGAGGGTCGCACTGTCCCGCAAGTCCCCAAGCGATGCAAGAGGCCCTCAGGCTGAGATTTGAAGTCACAACCCTACGGGCGAGGACCGTCCTTATTGTGACCCACAGCCAGTCCTTCGGGCTCTGCGGCCCTGCCAGCCTTCCAATCGGGCCCTTGATCTTGGGGCCTTCGGTCCCTCTTCAGGTCTCTTAAAATTAAGCCTATGTCGGACTCGGGACCACTTGCCGACACATGGTCCCTTGTTAGGTATCGTGGACCCCTGACCGATACAGGGCCCGCACATTGTCTCGGAGTCCTGAATCAGCGCAAGAGGCCTTCTGAATAATATTTCAGGTTCGCCCTACAAGACGGGCATTCTTTGTGACCCTCACCAGCTCTTCAGGCCCTTGTGCCCTCCAGTCAGGTTCTTGGTCCCTGATTTCGGTGGCCCCCGGGCCCTCCTCGGACCTCATTGAATACTGCCCTTGGTGGACTCGGGGACCATTGCCAACACAGGACCCCTGGTAGACCCTGTGGGGCCCTGGCAGATACAGGGGCCCCAACCGGTGTAAATCGCTGGCCCAGCTTTATGGCTGCTTGGGAAGTAAACCTTCGGGTTCACACCGACACAGAGCCGACCATACGGTACTGGTGGTGCCTGGGCGCCACATAGGCTCTTGTCAACTCAAGGGGTTCCCGATCGGCGCAAAAGGCTCTCTGACTGTCATCTGAGGCCTATCCCCACAGGCCGGGCTCCTGAAGGAGACTCCGTCTTCCCTTCGTGTCCTTAAGCTCTCCAATCGGGCCCTCGATCGTCAGTCCCGTTGGGGCCTCCAGATTCTCTTTGGGCCTCCTCGAAAACTGCCTCTGGCCAACTCGGGGCCTCTGCCAACACAGGGTCCCCTGTTAGGCATTGGGGGGGGGGGGGGGCTGACAGCCGTTGGGTTCCGACCAATGTAAATTGCTGACCCCCAGCTTTATCCCTGCCTGGAAAATAGGCCCCCAGGCCCATGCCGACGCGGAGCCGGCGGTGTGGTACTGATGATGTCGGACCGACATATAGGCTCTTAAAGACTCAGAGGGTGTCCGATTAACACAAATGGCCCTCTGGCTGGCATTAGAGTGCCTGGTCCTGCGGAGCAGGGCCCCTGAATACGACCTCCCGCTGGCCTTTTGGGCCCTTCGCGCCCTCCAGTCAGGTCATCAATCGTCAGTCTCGAGGGGCCAAAAAGGCCTCTCGGAGCCAAAGAGGGACACCCCTTGTGCCAACCCCTGCCTGCGCAACTGGCATCCACATATGTCACCTCAGCTGACATAGCATGGACACAAGCACTTGGGGTTAGTATCAAAAATGTGCTGGACATACCTTGTAGGAAGTGTAGCTCGAGAAAAAAAACGCTGCGCGTCGGATATCAGACACATAAAGATGCAACATTTGTGTCTCATCTCCCACGTCAAACGGTACAGTGACTGTCCAACAACGGCAATGGATGTCGAGCCGCCGTCCTGGCACGCGCCAGACGCCTGGGGCAACTTTACCTGCGACATTGCATCCAGTACAGGCTTACGTAACACACTCGTCGTGGACCAAGTGTCCACCAAACAGCTGCACGGTGTGGCAGTTATCTCAGCAGAGAAGATCAAGTTCCCGTTGAGAGGAGCACCGTCAGATGTCGGAGGGGAGGCGGGCTCGCTCGCCACACCAGAAGGCTGTATGCCGAACAGCACCCTCGTCCGCAACACATCCAGCTGCTGAGACAACGACCCCGCGCGGGTGTGGCTCGGAACACCGCCACTCGTTTCCCGGCCCAGTCACCGGCCACGCTGACGAACTGTATCCCCTCTGACCACGCCGGAAACAGACGCTTTACAGGTGACGACAGCTGACGACCGGGTGTGCAGGACTGCCGCACCCAAAGCAGGCACGAGCTCGGGGGAGCGCTCTCCGCCGCCTGTGCGGGAGACGCGCGGGAGATACCGTGCAGGGAGCCGACGGCGGATGGCGCGAGTGAAGCAGAGTCCCTTATTGTGGCGATGTTTCCAAACTTGTCGAAGCAGACAGCCACATCTTTGATTATTGGATTATGGGGTACAAATTAAGCTGTTTTACATGCAAACACCAAAAGATTCAAAGTCACGTAGAAAAATGGTTCTGCGTGCATTACATATATTCGCAATGCCACAGTCAATATTTTTTTTGGAATGCCCCAGGCAACGGTAGTTGAGAGCCCAGAAAAAATACTACACGACCAAAAAGGAACTTCTTGCATGCTTGAGGTTAGTCCAACAGTTGGCGCACCACTTACATGGGTGACGGCTCAGGCTATGGACTCATCATAGTGGCTTGTAGATTTCCAAAACCCGTCCGGAATGCTGGCCAGATGACTGGAGATTCTTGGCGACTTTCCATTTCACGTTATGTTTCAGTGCTCAGAGCCCTGCCGCCGATGGGACCCGCCGCAGACGGGTCGCAGAGACGAGCGATGACTGGAGATTCTTAGCGACTTTCAATTTCACGTTATGTTTCAGTGCTCAGAGCCCTGCCGCCGATGGGATGAGCAGACGGGTCGCAGAGGCGAGCGATGACTGGAGATTCTTAGCGACTTTCAATTTCACGTTATGTTTCAGTGCTCAGAGCCCTGCCGCCGATGGGATGAGCAGACGGGTCGCAGAGACGAGCGATGACTGGAGAGATTCTTAGCGACTTTCAATTTCACGTTATGTTTCAGTGCTCAGAGCCTGCCGCCGATGGGTGAGCAGACGGGTCGCAGAGACGAGCGATGACTGGAGATTCTTAGCGACTTTCAATTTCACGTTATGTTTCAGTGCTCAGAGCCCTGCCGCCGGATGGGATGAGCAGACGGGTCGCAGAGACGAGCGATGAAGCTCGTCAGGGTGACTCAGAAGCCAGGTGTCTCAGAGGAGTGACTCAGAGGCCAGGTGTCGACACGTTTCTGCTCGGGGCTGGCCTTCAGGACTGGCTACATTCCGTCTGCTCAGAACGGAGATGAGGCCACCGCAGGGATGACACGTGGCATGACTGTCGGTTTGCGTCCGCAGAGGCTCGCCGCGCCTCCAGGAGTGCGGGTTGGGCTCCGGCGGT